GGTGGCGCCCCAACTCCCCAATCGGCCCTGCTCTGAGCCCAACCAGGGGCTGCACCTAGGGATTGGGCCTGCCCTCTGCCACCCGGGAGCAGGCCTAAGCCAGCAGGTCTTTAAATCCCGAGGGGTCCCAGAGGGCACAGGCCAGGCTGAGGGACCTCCCCTTCCCCTCGAGTGCACAAAGTTTTGTGCACCGGGCCTCTAGTATATATATATATTACAACATGGGTGAACCTTGAACACATAATTCTAAATAAAAGAAGCCAGACAAAATAGGCTGTACATACATGATTCCTTTTATATGAAATGTCCAGATCAGGAAAATCTTTAGAAGCAGCAGATTTATGATTGTCAGGGGGCTGGAAAAAAGGGAATGGAGAGTGGCTGCTAATGTGTACAGGTTTTTAGAGGATGGGGAGGGAGCATTGATGAAAAAGTTCTGGAATTAGCATGATGACAGTTGCACAACTTCGTGAATATACTAAAAATCACTGAATTGTACACTTTAAAGGGTGAATTTGATAGTGTGTGAAATTTACCTAAAAAACGTAAATATTGCCAAAACCGGTTTGGCTCAGTGGATAGAGCATCGGCCTGCGGACTGAAAGGTCCCAGCTTCGATTCCGGTCAAGGGCATGTACCTGGGTTGCGGGCACATCCCCGGTGGGGGATGTGCAGGAGGCAGCTGATGGGTGTTTCTCTCTCATCGATGTTTCTGACTCTCTATCTCTCTCCCTTCCTCTCTGTAAAAAATCAATAAAATATATTTTTTTAAAAAGTAATTATTTTTAAAGTAACGTACACTCATTTTAATGCATGGTAATTATTTCTAGACTAGACTTCTCTTTGAGAATAATTTTGATTTCTCTTGCAGCAACAAAATGGTTCAGCAAGTTCCAGAAAACATCGATTTTCCTTCTGAAGAAGAGAAAATCTTGCAGTTCTGGTCCGAATTTAATTGTTTCCAAGAATGCCTAAAGCAGTCAAAACATAGGCCAAAGTATGTGAATTTCTTGGTAAAGAGAGAGTCCTTAAGACTAGTCATTTCTTAGACTGTGTTCAATTAAGGCAGGAACTTTTTATTCCAGTGATGGCGAACCTATGACACGTGTGTCAGAGGTGACATGCGAACTCATTTTTTTGGTTGACTTTTCTTTGTTAAATGGCATTTAAATATATAAAATAAATATGAAAAATATAAAACTTTGTTTTACTATGGTTGCAAATGTCAAAAAATTTCTATATGTGACACGGCACCAGAGTTAAGTTAGGGTTTTCAAAATGCTGACATGTTTTATTCACTTTGTATTCCCAGAGTCTCTAGCTCTATATAGTAGGTACTCTCAGTTGTAGATATACTTTGAATGAATGAGTTCTTAATTATTAGGTTAGATTCAGTTTAAGAGTTCTTCTGAATAGATTAACCTGAATGGTCTAATGAAATTCAGCTGTTAAAAGCTATTTAAATTTGGACCACTATTGAATAGAGTTTACATATCACACTCTTCCTTTCCACTTTTCTCATTATCACCACCTCATTAATTACTTAGACTAGCCTTCTGTTAGGTTGCCTCCTATCTATAATCTACCTTCACCTAACGACCAGTTTTGTTCTGTTTTTAATCATGTGTCTTCTGCTCAAAAACTTGATGAGATAGGCGTTTGGTGCCCTATTTTTTTTATATATATATTTTATTGATTTTTTACAGAGAGGAAGGGAGGGAGATAGAGAGTTAGAAACATCTATGAGAGAGAAATATCGATGAGCTGCCTCCTGCACATCTCCCACTGGGGATGTGCCCGCAACCCAGGCACATGCCCCTGACCGGAATCGAACCTGGGACTTCCCAATCCGCAGTCCGACGCTCTATCCACTGAGCCAAACTGGTTTCGGCTGGTGCCCTATTTTACTGATGAATAGCTTTATCGTTTAGCATCAGGATGAATAACCAATGAAGAATGGGTGGCCCAATGGAGGCCTCTCCAGCTCCCCCATAACTAGCTTTTTTCAAGGCAGGACCTGCAATAAATAATCATTTATCTGAATTTATCCACTCATCTACTGATGGGTTGTTTCCAGATCTTAGCTATTGTACTTTGTGCTGCTATGAACATAGGGGTGTATACATTCTTTCTGATTGGTGCTTCAGGTTTCTTAGGATATATTCCTAGAATTGGGATCGCAGGGTCAAATGGCAATTCCATATTTAATTTTTTGAGGGAACTCCATACTGTTTTTCATAATGGCTGCACCAGTCTGCATTCCCACCAGCAGTGAACTAGGGTTCCCTTTTCTCCACATCCTCTCCAGCACTTGTCATTTGTTGATTTGTTGATAGTAGCCATTATGACAGGTATGAAGTGATAGCTCATTGTCATTTTAATTTGCATCTCTGATGATCAGTGATTTTGAGCATTTAAAAAAAATATTGATTTCAGAGAGGAAGGGAGGAGAGATAGAAACAACTATAATAATAAAAGCATAATATGCTAATTAGACTGGACGTCCTTCCAGACGTCCTTCCTTGCAGACAAAGCCACAGCGGACAGGGACCAAGGCAGTGGCGGCAGAGGCCCCTGGCCACAGCGGCAGCAGGTGGGGGGTGGGGCCAAGGCCCTTGCATGAATTTCGTGCATCGGGCCTCTAGTCAATTATAATTATGAGAGAGAATCATTGATTGGATGCCTCCTGCACGCCCCCCCACTGGGGATCAAGCCTGCAACCCAGGAATGTGCCCTTGCCTGGAATAGAACCTGGGACCCTTCAATCTGCAGGCTGACGCTCTGTCCACTGACCCAAGTCGGGCAGGGCTTGAGCATTTTTTCATTTGTCCACTTTGGTCCACTTTGGAGAAGTATCTATTTAGGTCCTTTGCCCATTTTTTTAATTGGATTGTTTGTCTTCCTTTTGTTAAGTTGTATGAGTTCCTTATGTATTTTAGTTATTAACCCTTTGTCAGATGTATCATTGCCAAATATGTTTTCCCATGCAGTGGGCTTTATTGTTGTTTTGTTGATGGTTTCTTTTGCTGTGCAGAAGCTTTTCATTTTGATGTAGTCCCATTTATTCATTTTCTCCTTTGCCTGAGGAGCTATATCCATAACCATATTGCTATGAGAGATGTTTGAGATTTTGCTGCCTGGTTTCCTCTAGGATTTTTATGGTTTCACTACATACACTTAAGTCCTGTATCCATTTTTAGTTTATTCTTCTGTATGGTGTAAGTTAGTGGTCTAGTTTCATTCTTTTACATGTATCTTTCCAATTGTTCCAACACCATTTATTGAACAGCTTGTCTTGACTCCATTGTATGCTCTTGCCTCCTTTGTCGAATATTAATTGAGCGTAATGGCTTGGGGCAATTTCTGGGGTCTCTTTTCTGTTCCATTGGTCTATATGCCTGTTCTTGTGCCAGTATCTTCCTGTTTTGATTATGGTGACTTTGTAGTATAATTTGATATCTGGTATTATGATTCCTCCAACTTTGTTTGTCTTTCTCAAGATTGCTGAGGATATTTGGGGTCTTTTTGGTTCCATATAAATACTTGGAATATTTGTTCTAGATCTGTGAAATATGCAGTTTGTATTTTAATAGGGATTGCATTAAATCTGTAGATTGCCATGGGTAGTATGGACATTTTAATGTTAATTCTACCAATCCATGAACATGGAATACTCTACCACTTGCTTATATCTCTCCCTTTATCTTTTTTTTTTTTTTAAATATATTTTATCGATTTTTTACAGAGAGGAAGGGAGAGGGACAGAGAAGTAGAAACACCGATGAGAGAGAAACATAGATCAGCTGCCTCCTGCACATCTCCCACTGGGGATATGCCCGCAACCAAGGCACATGCCCTTGACCAGAATCGAACCCGGGACCCTTCAGTCCGCAGGCCGACGCTCTATCCACTGAGCCAAACCGGTTTCGGCTCCCTTTATCTTTTTATTCAGTGTTCTGTATCTTTCCAAGTACAAGTCTTTTGCCTCCTTAGTTTATTCCTAAGTTATTTTAATATTTTTGTTGCAGTGGTAAATGGGATTGTTTGTTTAGTTTCTCTTTCTGAGAATTTATTATTGGTATATAAAAAAGCCATAGATTTTTGGTATTTTGTATTCTGCTACATTGCCAATTTCATGTATTTATCTGAAATCAAAAATTTAAAAAGAAAGCAAAATAGATTTTAGTCACTTTTCTTTTTATTTTTTTAATATATATATATTTTTAAAATATATTTTTATTGATTTCAGAGAGAAAGGGTGATGGAGAGATAGAAACATCACTGATGAGAGAGAATCTTTGATGGGCTGCCTCCTGCATGCCACGCACTGGGTATGAAGCCTGCAACCCGGGAATGTGCCCTGACCGGGAATTAAATTGTTCCCTCCTGATTCAGAGGTCCACGCTCAACAGCTGAGCCACGCCAGCCAGGCACTCACCACTTTTCTTCCTGAACACTCCACTGAGACAGTTGCCATCTATTAAAAAAAGTTGTCCTACATTTTTGTTGTGTGTTTTAAAGTAACCACATATTTTTATTCTTTTTGTTAGATTTACTTTCTATGATGGGCCTCCTTTTGCAACTGGACTACCTCACTATGGACATATACTTGCGGGGACAATTAAAGATATAGTTACAAGATATGCGCACCAGAGTGGGTTTCATGTTGACAGAAGGTTTGGATGGGATTGTCATGGCTTACCTGTGGTATGTTTGAGTCACCAGCCTTATGTTTTGATTTTTTAATAAGCGTTAGATTTCATTATATACTATGTATTAGTATGAATTTTTACTATAATCAGATTTTTTCTTTATTTCTATAATACTATTTATAGTTCATTTTCTCTAGATTTTTTGAGAGCTTATTTTAAAATGTTTTATTTTCTAGAGTTCAATTGCATTTTGTTTCATAGGGCAGCTATGTTAACAATGTTGTTGTAAATTTTCAGGAATATGAAATAGATAAGATATTAGGAATCAGAGGACCAGAGGATGTAGCCAAAATGGGGATTGTGGAGTATAACAATCAGTGCCGAGCAATTGTGATGAGATATTCTACTGAGTGGAAGGTATGTTCTGTTATTTTCAGTAGAATGGACCAAAACTTGTAGTTTAAATGGATGTTAAAATGACTTCTGGTCCTTTGTGCATTTTATGTTGCTCCCAAAAGTATGGCTGTCCATGTGAAGTTGTAACTTAAGGTGTCAACCATTCCTTTTTTTTTTTTTTTTTTTTTAAATATATTTTATTGATTTTTTACAGAGAGGAGGGGAGAGGTATAGAGTTAGAAACATAGATGAAAGAGAAACATCAATCGGCTGCCTCCTGCACACTCCGGTCAAGGGCATGTACCTGGGTTGCGGGCACATCCCCAGTGGGAGATGTACAGGAGGCAGCAGATCGATGTCTCTCTCTCATCGATGGTTCTAACTCTCTATCTCTCTCCCTTCCTCTCTGTACAAAATCAATAAAATATATTTAAAAAAATATTCTATCAAGTCTTGTTAGCATCTCTCTCTTTTTCTTTTTTTTTTAAAATATATTTTATTGATTTTTTACAGAGAGGAAGGGAGAGAGATAGTTAGAAACATCGATGAGAGAGAAGGGGATCAGCTGTCTCCTGCACACTCCCCACTGGGGATGTGCCCGCAACCCATGTACATGCCCTTGACCGGAATCGAACCTCGGACCTTTCAGTCTGCAAGCCGACGCTCTATCCACTGAGCCAAACCGGTTTCGGCAGCATCTCTTATTTAGTCATTTATCATTCCAACAGCCTCTCCCTAGCTTCTCACTTCTTCATTTCGGTAACAATCTCCTAACTGGTCTCTTGCTCATGCTCTTTCCACTCAGCCTGTGAAGTTCTCCCACAAGACTGTGCTCATCTTGCTCTTCTCTGCTCAAAGCATTGAGTAACTTCTTTTCATTGGTGAATAACATTTTATTTCATGGACCTAAAAACTCAGAGCTTCTTAATTTTCTCCTAACTTTCTTTAATCTAACTTTCCTTGCCTGGTTACCAGTAGGGAAAAATCCTGATTATAACATGTATAGGTCTTCCTCCACCCCCCCTTATTTTTAAATTGTTCATTGTGAAACAATTCCGGTTTATTAAAAATTACAAAGTTGTATCAAGCGTTTTCTTTTATCCTTTACTTATTAGCTAACACCTTCAATAACTAAAGTATAATTAACAGAAGCAAATTATCAGAAAGAAATGAACATTGATACATTATATTAGACCTTTTTCAAATTTAACCAGTTCCACTAATTTTTATTTCTGATCCAGAATACAGTTTAGAAGCGGACACTGCATTTAGTTGTCATACCTCCGTAGTCTCCTTTAATCTGGAACATGACCTCTATCTTTTTTGTCATTTATGACCTTGTCACTTTTTTTTAATCTTTTAAAAAGTTTTAAATTTATATTTTACAGCCAAGACCGGTTTGGCTCAGTGGATAGAGCGTCGGCCTGCGACTGAAGGGTCCCGGGTTCGATTCCGGTCAGGGGCATGTACCTGGGTTGCGGGCTCATCCCCAGTGGGAGGTGTGCAGGAGGCAGCTGGTCGATGTTTCTCTCTCATCGATGTTTCTAACTCTCTCTCTCTCTCTCTTCCTCTCTGTAAAAAATCAATAAAATATATTAAAAAAAATTTATATTTTAGAAAGGGAGGAACAGCAAATTTTTTTATCCATTTATTCATCCACTAGAGGTCCAATGCATTGGGATTCATGCAAGAAAGGCCTTCCGTCCCCTGGCTGCCGGCACCAGCTTCCCTCCAGCACCCAGGACTCAGCCCTTCACTCAGGCCGCCGCCTTCAGCCTTCGCTCCGGCCAGAGCCGCCTTCCATCTGAGCTCTGGCCCTGCCCCCTCCTGTAGCTCCCTCCACCTCCTGCCCTCTCCCCCATAGCAAGTGTCCCGCCCCGCCCAGGCCGCTCCGTGCGTACTGCCCAGAGGCCTGGAGCGTCCGAGGAGGGGTGGAACACCGGTGTCCCGGCCCAGCCACTACCATCTTTGTCGCGTCAATTTGCACATTCCCTTCTTGTTGGCTGTGAGCGCCGCCATCTTTGTCACAAAGTGATGGTCAGTTTGCATATTCTGTCTTTATTAGATAGGATTCATTGGTTTGTTCTTGAATGTACTCTGAGCCCAAAACCTCTGTGTATCCGATGTGGATGCTCTGATCAAATGAACTACCCAGCCAGAGCTTGCCCTTGTCACTTTTAAATAGTACAAACCAGTTATTTATTTATTTTTAATATATTTTATTGATTTTTTACAGAGAGGAAAGGAGAGGGATAGAGAGTTAGAAACATCGATGAGAGAAACATTGATCAAATGCCTCCTGCACACTCCTTAGTGGGTATGTGCCTGCAACCAAGGTACATGCCCTTGACTGGAATCGAACCTGGGACCCTTGAGTCTGCAGGCCGATGCTCTATCCACTGAGTCAAACCGGTTAGGGCCAAACCAGTTATTTTTAAGAAATTCCCTCAATATCTACTGTTTTTTCATGATTCAATTTAGGATTTGCATTTTTGGAAAAAATGTCTCAGAAGTGACATCATACCTTTAGTCTGTTATTAGGAGGCCTGTGGTCCTGATATGTCTCATTGATTATGTTAACTTTGGTTACTAAGGTGATCTGTGTCAGAGTTCTTTATTGTAAAGTTGGAGTTTTTCCTTTCTAATTAATATTCTGTGGGGAGATTCTTTGCAAATATCCTGTTTCTCATACTTTAACTCAGTAGTTTCAATATCCATTAATAATTCTTGCCAGCAACAGTTATAGCTATAGCTTTTGTTGAATGGTAACTTTGGTAGACTGTAAGGGCATATTGATAACTTGCAAATAACATTTTCATATAGGATGAATGCCAGAAGAATCTGGTGCATAATCTTATATAGTATGTTGATAGCAATATAGATTTACCTCAATCATTGATTGTTCTGTTTTCCAAAAATCATTACATGTGCTGATAAAGAAGTAAAACACATTGATTTACAATAACAAATATTCTCTAACAACTAATATTTATATTTTGTTAGTCTACTGTTACCAGACTTGGCCGATGGATTGACTTTGACAATGACTATAAAACACTCTATCCAGAATTCATGGAATCTGTCTGGTAGGTGTATTTGAAATTGTAAATATAATGAATATTTTGTCATGCAGGGGTGGACAAAAACAGCTCTCCAGTTTTTCATAAAGAAAATGTAATAATTAGCCTTGGCTGCATAGGTTAGTTGGTTAGAACATTGTCCTAATGTACCACAGTTTCAGGTTTGATCTTGGTCAGGGCACATACAAGTATTAACCAATGAATGCCTGAATGAGTGAAGCAACAGATTGATATCTCTATCTATCTATCTATCTATCTCTCTAAATTCAGTAATTTTAGAAAATAGAAAATACAGCAATTAAATAATACAAGAATGAACAGTATTTTGCATACTCATAACTATAAACCAACTTTTGCCCATCCCTGTATTACATAATAGAGTAGTGATGGGTTGTTTTGGTGTTTAAAGATTTAAAATTTTTAATTTTTTTTACAGCATTTTTAGGTTCATAGCAAAACTAAGAGCAGGGTACAGACAGATCCCTTATGCCCTGTGCCCCACACACATTGCCTAACCCAGGGGTGGGCAACTTTTTTGTGAGTACATGCCAAAATCAGCAAATCTCTGACTCAAAATTCTTCTGCGTGCCAACCCTAATTTTTTGAGAACATGTTACACCTACTTGATATCTCTTAAGGTGTACGTATGTGAAGAACCTTGAAGAAATAGTAAAATTCATGCAAGCGACAAAAACACAGTATATGATGATGAAAAATTTATTTTTTAATGTATACATGTTATGTAAAATTATTTATCTTAGATGCACCTACACTGAATTTATATGAAAAATAAAAAAGTTGATATTAAGAAAAAAATTGTAAATGGAAGATTATAAGAGAGGGTTTCGTGTGCCAGCAGAAGTTACTGGCGTGCCATGTTTGGCACGTGTGCCAGGGGTTGCTCACCCCTGGCCTAGCCCTTATTATGTTTGTTTATGTAGAACAGTATGTTTGTTACAATTGAACCTTCATTGACACAATAATTACCCAAAGTCCACAACGTACTTTAGCTTTTACTCTTTTTGAACATTCTATGGTTTGGTGTAAATGTATAGTGACATGTATGTATCATTTTAGTATCCTATAGAGATTTGTCTTTGAGCCCCAGTTTGATAACAGACCATTTATATTTTTTATTCTACTTAGTGTGAGCAATTGTATGCACTGATGCAGAAATACCAGTATATTTGATTACTGCTTGCTGCACAATCTACTGGGGCCATTGTCTACGACAAAATACATAGATATCTTACTATCCAGAATCCAAAATTAACTAAATTCAAAACCAACCTCTAAAGGACACTAGAATGATAGATGCATGTCATTACACATTTACCCCAAAGCATAGAATGTTCAAAATGACTGAACACTAAAGTAAACTATGGACTTTGGGTAAAGATGTAGAGAAAGGGAAGCCTTATGCATTGTTGGTGGGATTGAAAATTGGTGTAGCCAGTGTGGAAAACAGTATGGAGGTTCCTAAAAAAAAATTGAAGATAGAACTATCTTATGAACCAGACATACTGACTTTAATCCCAGTGCAGTGAAATTACCCATTATAGTGAAATTTAAGCAATACACCAGAAAACTATTTAAAAACGAAAAACTAAAATGCCAGCCATAGTTAAGATGTTATTGGAAATCTATTTTTTCATCACTCCTGAAAAATGTAAATATGTATACACTAGGTCCTCCGGTTACATCAGAGATCTGTTCCTACGGCATGACGTAACGCAATTTTTGCCTTAAGTTGGAACCCACCTATGTAAGCACCCATGTCAGTGGTCAGCAAACTGCGGCTTGCAAGCCACATGCGGCTCCTTGGCCCCTTGAGTGTGGCCATGAAGTTTCAATTGCACTGTACGTGCGCGCCCCCACGTGGTATTTTGTGGAAGAGCCACACTCAGGGGCTGCAGTTTGCCGATCACTGACCTATGTCACTCACATGGAGTACATACATAGCAGTAATGAAGTGAAACAGTAAAAAAAATTTAAAAGAAAGATAATAATTCTTGACCTTGTGGTAAATAAATAATAAACATAAAGCACTTATGTCAAAATGACGGAACTTTTATATATATATGTATGTGTGTGTATGTGTATGTGTATATATATATATATATATCTCCTATCTAATAAAAGAGAAACATGGTAATTAGTGTACGACCGCTACCATTCCCATTGGCTAATCAGGGCAATATGCAAATTAACTGCCAACAAAGATGGCGGCTAGTTTGCATACTGAAGGCAGGGCAGGACAGTGCCATCCCGCCTGCCCTGCTGCCATCCGGGCCTGGTATTGCGACCCTGGCGGCAGGTGGCCCATATGGGAACAGACCCAGGGCTGGCAGTGGGAGCGGCCACA